ACGAACATTTGTTCTTTTTCTCACCTCCTATTTCTTGATATATATATATTGAATATTTTCAATGTAGTTTTTATAGATTAAATAAATATGATTCGTATAAATAGTTTATCATGTGTATTTATGCTTGTTATTGTTATTCATTATATAATAATTCAAGTGCATAGTGTTTCACCAGCACCTGGTAAGAAAATAACAACACCATTTGGTAAAAAAGGTAGTTGGGCAGCTGGTTATCATACAGGTGCTGATTATGCATGTCCTATTGGAACAAAAGTAGTTGCAACAAGAGCTGGAGTTGTTAAAAATGCCAATTGGGGTTCAGCTTATGGAACACATATTATTATTGAATCAAAAGATACAAATGGTAAAACTATTCAACATTTATATGCACATTTAAGTAACAAATTAGTAAAGATTGGTGCTAATGTTAAAGCTGGACAAGAAATAGGTAAAAGTGGTAATACAGGACGAAGTACTGGTCCTCATCTTCATTATGAAGAACGAGTATCACCATTTGCTTATAAAAATCATCGAAGTCCTAAATTTAATTAATAAGAACTAGTTAATTTTATATTTATTTATTCATGTTTCTTTGTTTTTTTTTGGCTCATGATATATATTTAATTTATAATGAAATGAAAAACATAAATAAAGAGTTGATCTAATTATGTCATATATCACAAAAGCAAAAAATCAATTCATTCGATCAAATCGAAGTACAGATATTAGAATTTCTTATTGCGCACTGTTATCTATGGATCAATAGACTTCTATATTAGTTCAAATCATACTATTAATAAATAAGATAAATCTATCGATATTAAATCGATTGATTCGTATGAATCTTTAAGTCACCATCTAAAAAATCCTTTTAATAGTCTCTCTTATATTTTATATATGATTGACAACACTTCTGACAATAAACAGCAATAAATTTAAATATTATATTATACATTCGTAGTTCATATTAATTCAAAACGACGATTATAGTAAATGGTAATAAACAACCATTTTGTAGTTCAGACTTTTTGAGTCTATAATTTTGTTGATGCAATATTTACATCTTGAACCAAATCGCAGATACTTATTTTACTCTGAGAGTATTGTTCATTGTTCTTATGTATATATTTGAAAATAAATTCACATACAAAATCTGCTATTACCATACAACTAATACCAGAACCTTAATGAATTTATATAAAGGTATTTTTTTTGTTTCAAATAAAAACATACCAACAGCCAGAAATAAAAAATAAAAATCAAATTTTCCTGCTTCGCCTGTAATTGTCAGAACAAAACGGAGTCCAAACATTTTTGTTAATGTTCGATATTCAATTCCATTCATACGATATTTATCAGCAAACCTATTAATAAAAATAAAAGATCAGAATATAGATATTAGTTATCAATATAAAAAATAAACTCGATGTTTCAATACCGATAGTTAATGCCTGGTGATAATTTATCATCGCCTTTTTGCAACAGATCAAAATCATAAACTGGAAAACAATCTGTCCGGTCTTTGTAAGAATCAAAATTGCAGTTCCAATTTTGTCTGATCTCAATAAGACCACCCTAAATAAGAATTACAATAGAAAATATTATTACGAAAGATTTCGAAAAAAAAACGACTAATTTTTGAAAGAAAAAGTACAATGATAACGAAACAAATCTTATCGAAAATTTCGCGTCATAGTTTTAATTGAAGTTGGATGAAATAACAGAGTGAAACGCGCTCTATTTATGGCTCATTGTCCCTTCGCCGATAGGATAGACGCGATTAAGCGTAAGTCCAGTGGATTTCCGCCAACTGTAATAACACAAGATTGGTGTAAAATACATATGACAAATTAACCTAATATTATTAGAATAAGCATATTACAGCCTAAATGTGTTAATGTAGTTACTAGGAGCTATTTTTACACATATGTAATTACAGAAGTAACACTCGTCCGAGGACTCGCTTAGCTCTTTCTCGTAGAAATGTATCCTCTTCACATTTACCGGAAAAATAATTGAAAATTGTGAAAAATCGGTTTTCAATGTTTTTTTGACCCTGCAGACAGACAAGCAAGCAAATAATTAATTTTTATTGGACTCTTCTCTACGAGAAAGAGAATAACGACAGTGGCGAAATTCGACAATTCCTATTTATTCGTAAAAAGTAACCTCCGTCACTACTTTTGAATAACCGTAAGTAGAATCTATCTATTGAGTAAATAGTCTGTTTATGATATAACTATTCCATATATATATTTAATCACTAATATAACATCGGAATGAGTTTATAATCAAGGAAATATTTTTAATTCTAGATGAACAGATACTTGTATCATGTAATATTTCGATGAAATATTTTTAAATCTATAGAAACGATTTCCTCGTTAAATTCTTATCTGAATTTGAATATAATTACTTGATGATAAAGAGCTGTTAAGTTGATTCGTGGATCTTGTTCTTTAAGTTTTTGAAGAATATAACCAATTTGAAAAATAGGACAATGTCGAGCCGTTTTACTGCGAAAACGACATGTAAAAACGAAATCATTTTTGACAGTTCCTCTATTAAAATCATCAAAAAAAAACAATATTAATATCAAATAGAATAATTATTTTAAAAAATATACAATTTTATTTTGAATTCAGGAAATGATACAATTGTTTTTATAAATACAGTAAAATTTAGTAAATCATTAATATCAATTGCGTTATCTCTTCGAATAAAATAAATCATATATATATATACATAAAAAACATTAAATTAACTAAAATCTTACGTAGAATTTGCACCCTCTTCAGGACACCATGCTTCTATTTCACATACATGTATTGTTTTATCTTCTAAACTTGGTACACAATTTCCAGTTTGAAAACCTACACAATAATATATAGAATTTAAAACATTGTAAAGTATACTGGAATACATACCTAATGTATTATTCGATATCGTTCCTTGTTTACAAGGATTATATGTGACATTGCAAAAGACTTTCTCGAGTAAAGCCTATCTTTTTTATAAACATGTTGAAGTGAAATATTTAATTGATTGCTAAACTTACACTTGGACAAATGCCTACTGTTTGATCGTAAGTAATTATTTTGCGAGTTGCAATAAAAAATGCATTTTCTTCCTATATTTAATACATATTTTATCTATTATTTAAAAAAGAATTACATACAATAGGTGGTATTCCAAATTCACTTGCATCCCATAGGGCTTGCACTTTATTTTCTAAGAATGTACGATAAGACAACATATTCAATCATTTCAAAAAAAATACCTGGATAAACATGCGGATTACTAATATTAACACGTCCAATACCTTTCACTTTGATTACACTTGATCCACGTGGTTCTTGAAAACGTTGATAACCTTTTCTTATCCAGACAATATAACTATTCGAAAAAGTAAAAAAACAATCATAATGAATAGAAAACTTACAGAAAAATATAAGCCAAAACAGTAAATTGAAGAATACGATGAACTAGTGCAACAAATGTATTACGTACTTCAATTTCTCTAACACTAGAATAATTAAAAAAGAAACCCAAAACTCGTGATGGAAATCGATAAGCTATTATTCCAGTAACCATCAATATCTTGTAATAAAATCTAAACATAAAAGAAGATTTATTACTAATAATTGTAACCATTACGATCAAATCTAAGAAGTTCACTTATACAACATGAATCTATGAAAATAGAAAAACAAAAAAATAGTCGCCCATTAATAAATTGTCATTCAATCTATATGTTTTGTCTGACAATTAATTGTTTTCGTGATCAAAACGTACCAAAAGAAAAAAATCTAATTTATTTGATTTTCTCCGTTGATAAAAAAATAGATATTA